CCAGCGTCAGGGGCAGCGGGGGCAGCTTCTTCTCCAGCGTGGCGCCCACGATCCAGTTGCTGTCCACGGAGCCTGTGGGGGACGGCTGTGCTGAGAGCCGGTGCCGGCCGCCCGCCCTGTCCCCGTGGGATGGCAACCAGGCCGCCTCAGATGCCACCAGCCAGCCTGCTGGTTCCCAGACCTCCGACCACACGGTTCCCGCATCAGGTCCCTCGCCCCTGAGAGCAACTGCCTTATTCCTCTTCCTCCTCAGCTCTCAGCTCAGTGACCTCCCCCTCCAGGAAGCCCTCCACCCCCCATGGCTCCCCCAGCCCAGTTCTGTCCACACGAGGTCATCACTCTCTGGGAATGGGCCTGTCCCCTCCACTGTGTGCCCTGTGAGGACAGGGCCTGGTCACCGTGGTGTCCCCAGCACCCTCAGCACACGGCTGACCAGAGCAGGTGCTCAGAATCTGCCAAATGAGAGACTGAAATCTCCTCTGGGGCCCAGAGCCTTCCAGATGTGCGAGTGCATGGAGCCGTCCTCCCACCCTGGAAAGGGGTGATCACTCACTTAACAGGAGCAGAGAAGCAGCCGACCTGGATCCCAACCCCCTGACACCAGGCTGAGTGCAGAGCCAGGGTCAGGAGGCCGCAGGGCAGGCCTCAGAGGCAGAGACCCTGGACCTCAACACCACCTTCAGAGCCCTGCCCAGGCAGACTGAGGCAGCAGCGGGGGAGTCTGCACACACCCCACATTGAGAACCACTGAGGTCCCGGAAGAGACTGAAGACTAGAGCCAGTCAGCCCAGGAGGAGGTTCTGGATCTGGCCGTGACTGTGCAACCTCCAGTGGCCTCCGTTTCCACTAATGTGAGATAAGTGGGGCGGATGGACTCCAAGCTGCAGTCCACTCATGACCAAGAAGAGAGAGGGCCGAGGGCAGAGAGTGGAGGGCTGCTGGCGGGGTGAGGAGCAGCATGGCGGGTGCGAAGCTCAGGCCCCGGCCCCCAGCTTCTGAAGAAGCGTCCCGGGGAGTCTGCAGGCCCCCAACAGTCCCAGCTCGCCGCTCTCACCATCTCCTATGCCTGCACACCCTCTAGAGCCGAGTCATCTCTCGTGTGTCCTCCAGGAGGAGACTGAGGCCTGTACCATCTCCTCTGGCCTGCACACCCTCTAGAGCTGAGTCCCCTCTCGCCCGTCCTCCAGGAGGGAGACTGAGGCCTGTACCTTTGAAGAGCAGGTTGGCCTTGGGCAGGTCCAGCTGGTACCCGAAGGAGACACTGGTGTCCTGCATCCTTGTGCTGGCCTCAAACTCCACGCCCACCTGCAGCTGAGGGGCCAGGGCAGCAGAGTCAGCTTCCC